TCACCATCATCATGTTCAGCCTTCCGCTCTGCATCCGCATCCTCATCCTTGTCCTCGTCCACCTCGTCCTCCTCATCGTCCTCATCATCTTCATCATCATCATCATCAGCATGTGCATCATCATCCTTGGTTGCGATTACTATGTGTGAATATCTATACTGTTTGCAACCTGCTTACTCATAATATGATCAACCGTATGATGCTTCGTAATAATATCTCTGAGTGCCCCCAGCGGGGCAGGAAGGTGATAATGATCAGGGCGCCCTGCGGATCAATACTAGGCGGCAGCAGGGCACATATAACATAACACAATCAAGCAAACCACGCTATCTGTCTCGGTATCAGTGTTCGCAGTATGAGTCTTACTCGTCTTACGACTCCCAGTATCACTACCGTTGCTCTTCTGTCCCCCCGATCTATCCCGTTCCTCGGTCCCCTCGGGTGAAAATGGAGGGCGCGGAGGAAAAAGAGGAAGAAGGCAGGCCAGTGAGTGAGGCTCTTCTTGAAACGGATGCCATCTGACTTGCCGGATGGGATTGATACAGATGGGGAGGAGGAAGAGAATGAGGAAGGGGAGGCGGAGGAGGCGGAGGAGGAGGAGGAGGCCGGGCAGCAGAGGGGAAGAGGAGGAGAAGGAGGAGGAGGAAGGAGGAAGGAGGAGCAGGAGAATGAAGGGTAGGAAGGAGAAGGAGGAGGAGGCAGGATAATGAGTATGAAGGAACAAGGAAGAGGAGGTATGCCTCGGTTTGGCGGGGGGGGACTCGGCGGCAGGAGGACAACCAACGGTAGAGGAGCGAACGTCACAGAGCAAGCACGGCGCATGAGTCAAGAAATTAAAGCTGGCACCACGTAGGAGGGTGAGGAGGACGAGGGGAAATCTTTGGGCCTACCTATGTTGTTCGTGTCGTGCCGTGTCCGTTCTATTTGCTCCGCTGGCCTCACCCAATGCTTTCGCGTTTTGCCAAGCCGGCTTCACGCATTCTCTTTTCACCCGTGGCACGCTCCAGTTCCGTTCCAGGAGGACTTGAGCTAATATGGCTGTGGGGTGCTTTCAACCCGTTCGTTGGCCGAGTTTCGTGGAGTCGCGACCCTGTAGGGGACGGTGGCCAGATGTAGCAAATGGCCTGTGGCAGGAGGGGGAGGAGGAGGAGGAGGAGGAGGAGGAGGAGGAGGAGGAGGAGGAGGAGGCTGTAGGCTGAAAGTGAGTCAGCGACTGCACACAGACACTGCTCGACCTCCGCAAATGCGGAAAAGCGGTACAGGGTACAAGAGCTGCCCCTTGGCGTCGGACGACTCGCGGCCCAACCGAACCGACATGGTGCATTGGGGGCACGAGGCCACCCTGTCGGCACGATTGGCATTGCGCACTGGGGCCTGCCCAAAGGCCCCAGCCGTGAGTGGACACAAAGCCCAATCGGATTTACGTGGCACATGCCACCACCTCTCACGGAAAACGCAAATCCCTGAGGGCCAGACCACATGGGAATAGCCACCCAGGCGCCTGGCTAACGCCGCCGGCAGGGCAATGCTGAGACCGAAGGCCGTGCTACACCCAACGACGAGGCCGCGCGCAGCGCAAGCCCCGCCGATACAGGTTTCGCAACGTCCACCCCCAGGCCCAGTGCCCGCTGCATCCGCACAGAGAGCTGAGGGCCGTGCTACACCCAACGACGGCAGCCTTGCGGCATCCCGCCGATACAGGTTTCACAGCGTCCACCCTCCTCTGTGGAAAAAACGACCGGTGGCCGCTCACCCTGACCGCAGATGAAATGCATCGCCCTGAACGGTCTGCCCCGAGGAAGGTGTGGCGCTGGACACCATGAGAACAGGTGCCAGGCCCCACCCTCGGGGGGGAGGAGGAGGGGGAGGAGGAGGAGGAGGAGGAGGAGGAGGAGGAGGAAGAAGATGATAATGATGATGAGGAGGAGGAGAAGGAGGAGCAGAAGGAGGAGGAGGCAGAGGAGGAGGAGGAGGAGAAGGAGGAGGAGGGGGAAAAGGAGGAGGAGGAGGAAAAAGAGGAGGAGGAGGAGGAGCGGAAAGAGGTGGAGAAGGAGGAGGAGGTGGAGGAGGATAAGAAAGAAAGGAAAAAAGGAAGGATCGCCCACAACCCACCCTGCATCCTCCATTCCCCTGGCGCGCGCACAACGCCAAGCGACGGCGCATCACGGGCCTCTTGACGAGCTGGTCGTAGGACGGGCGACCCTCCTGGGGACGCTGCCCGCCCGTCTCCTCCTCCTCCTCCTCCTCCTCTCCTCCTCCTTCTCTCCTCCCCTCCTCCCCCTCCCTCCTCCTCCTCCTCCTCCTCCTCCTCCTCCTCCTCCTCCTCCTCCTCCCCTCCTCGGGTCCCTCCCCCTCCTCACCTCCTCCTCCTCGTCCTCCCCCTCCTCCCTCCCCGCCCCTCCCGTCCCTTCTCCTCCTCCTCTTCTCCCTCCTCCTTTCCCTTTCTCCTCCTCTTCCTCCGTCTCCTTCCTCGTCTTCCCCTCCCTCCTCCTCCTCCTCCTCCTCCTCCTCCTCCTCCTCCTCCTCCTCCTCCTCCTCTGCTCCTCTGCTTCCTCCTCCTCCTCCTCCCTCCTCCTCCTCCCTTCCCTCACTCTCTCGCCCCCTCGTTTTCCCCCTCCTCCCTCCCTCCTCCCCTCCTGGCCTCCTCCTCCTGCACTCCTCCTCCTCCTCCTCCTCCTCCTCGCTCCTCCTCCTCCTCCTCCTCGTCCTCCCCTCCTCCTCCCACCCCCTCCCCTTCCCCTCTCCGCTCCTCTTTTCCTCCTCCTCCTTCTCCTCCTCTTCCTCCTACTCCTTCTCTCCTCTTCCTCCTCCTCTCGCTCCTCCTCCCTCCTCCTCCCTCATCCTCCTCCTCCTCCTCCTCCTCCTCCCTCCCCTCCTCCTCCTGCTCCTCCTCCTCCTCCTCCGCCTCCTCCTCCTCTTTCATTGTTCCTCCACCTCCATTCCTTCTCCTTATTAATAACTCCTCCCTGTCGCACCCCGAGGCGTCACAGGGCGGGACGGGTTTTCGCCTGAAAATTCCTCACCACGCGTAATTATGAAGCTTACACTTTGCAACAATACCACATATGGCAGGCGGGTCGCTGTCAAAATGTGGCTCTCGCCGTCGCCCCGCGGACATGCGTCTCAAAAGTTTGCAAGGGCTTCACGGATTGAGGGCGGGTAGTTGTCAAAATGTGGCTCTCGTCCGCAGGCGCTCGTCTGAAAGCAACATGTTAAAGGATGGAGGGCGGATCGTTCTCAAAATATGGTGCTTGCTCTAGCGCCGCGCGCAATAGTTCAAAATGTTGCAAACGTTTCACGGATAGAGGGAGGGTCGTTTTCAAACTGTGGTTGTTTCATCAGCGCCGCGCGCATTCGTCTCAAAAGTTTGCCAGGGATTGACGACGGGAAAAATGCAGGGCGGCCAAACAGGGAAAACAAGTAGGGCAAGGCGACACAGGCGGCAACGAACGTGAAACAACAGCAAGCCCAATGCGTCCGCGCCACATGGGACATCCGACCCGTTTTCCGCCCATCTCTTTCAATTGCGCTTAAGATTGCTCGGTGCCGAATCGGACCTTGCTCCACAAACCGGAGCCCCTCATTAGCCCAAAGCGATCCTTATGTCAGTGTCCTGACTGCACATAGTATGTGTAATGATCGACCCGTCGTCCGTCCTAGAAAGAGCGAGGGACCCACAGGGGCCAAGAAAACTGTGCTGGGGGGCCGCGCGACCTTCTAGGAAAAAAGACGAGCACAATCGACCCTCGATCCTCGTCCTCCTCGATCCTCGATC